ATGTTTTTGGAATATTTTTATACAATATTACAGAAAAACATTTCTCATGGCTTTCTTCGTGTGCAACATTCGTTTCTGAATGTTTCATACAATATTTTTATCAACATTCCAAAAATTGTTCACGAAATCATTTTAACATTGTTTTTGAAAAGTTATGGAAAGTTTCCATAAAATGTTTCAAAACTTGACTAAAACAGTTTAATGGAAACTTAATAATTTATTTAACAAATATTTTTACAATATCTTTGCAAAGTTTTATAAAATATTTCAGTGAAGTTTTCAGTGCAATATTTCATGTTATGTGAGAAGGCTTGAAATAAAGTGCTGCAAGTCAAAAACCAGATGCGGTGGTGGGGGAATTCATCCCGTCCATCATGTTTTCGCACATGAAAAGTCTGAATTTTCGCGTTGACCCTTTTCCTCTCAAATATCACAATTTTTCTTCAAACTTTCGGCCTTATATCTCTTAATCAAATAATCATAATAATGTAAAAAATTCATGCAACATCATTTCTTATAGATTTTTATTTTTATCTCTATCTTTAGAATGGCGTAAAGGAAATTTTCCTAAATCATAAGTTGGAAAATTTATCGGCCGTTTTTCCAAAAACTTAACGAATTTTTTTACGTTTTTTTTTTAAAAGGTTTATTTTGAAATGGAAAAAATTTTTACACCACATTTCTACCACGATAAAAAGTGTTATAGATGTCCAATCTTTCAAATTCCGGTGATCTTATTTCGAAATTCAAAATGGCAAACACAGAACGGCGTCCGAATAAAGAGAACAATTTTTTTCCCACATTACGAATTTTTATCTCGAAAACTATTAAGTTTTGTGAAAAATTCATAAGGATAAAAATGACCTTTAAGAAGAACTAAAAATAAATATTAAATAGTGCTTTTTATTATGGATACCGCGTCTTTTTACCGAGAAAATACTATTGTCATTGCCCGACTCTTACCGCGTAGCGGTAAACATAAATATAAAAAGGTCATTTTTTACTTTTATTTTTATTTAAAAAAATTTTTAAAATATATTTTTCAAATACATTACATTTTTTCTGTATTATATCATTGCAATAAAAGGCTCTTAAAATTGAAAATGTTCCTATACAGCATGAGATTCACGCCAGCGTGTTAGATAAACGTATTTATTACATTGCACAAATCAAAGAGGAATTGTCATATTCCAAAAAACATGGATAAAATGAAAATAACTGTGCCTGGTGTGTACGTACTATATCTGAAATTTTTTGAAAGAACTTGAAAAATTTTGGTTTTTTTTTTCAAACTGCCATTGCTGTTGATAAGGCGATGATTAAATTTTTTGATAGATTAATAATTAAACAATTTATTCGAAATAAGCCAGTAAGGTTTGGTATAAAAATATAGGACAGATGGAACTTATGGATATTTGATTGCGAAATTTACAGTGGAAAAAATGTCGCTTAGGTGAAAAGTTAACAAAATGCGCTTTGGAAATAGATTTTGTGGTGTGTTAGAAAAAGTTTTTATCACAACAGTAAAAAGAAAAGTGAAAAGTGAAAATTTACCGCCTATATTGCGATAATTTTTTTACTAGCTCTGATCTGTTCGTGCATTTGTAATTATTAGGTTTAAGAGCTTCGGGGGTTGTGAAAAAGGATAAAGTGAAGGAAAAAAATTATTTGGATAAAAAAGTTACACGTGGGACTTGTTTTGTAAAACATAATCATTTTTTTCATGTTTCTTGGAATATGACAATTCCCCTTTGATTTATGCAATGCAATAAATACGTTTGTCAAACATGCTGACGTGAATCTCATGCTGTATAAGAACATTCTTCATTTTGAGAGCCTTTTATTACAATGATATAATACAAACAAATTTTTATGTATTTGAAAAAATACAACAAAAATTTTTAAATAAAAAAAAATAAGAAAAAGTAAAAATGACCCTTTGATTCACGTTTGCCACCACACGATAAGTGTCGGGTAAAGACAAAAGTATTTTCTCGGCAAAAAGACGTGATATCCATAATAAAAAGCGCTATAGTAAATAATAGTATAATAAAAACTTGATAGTTTTTGAGAAAAAAATTCATGGGATTTTCAATGTAGGAAATTCAATGTAGGAAAAAAAAATTTTCTCTTTATTCGGACGCCGTTCTGTGTTTGCCATTTGGAATTTCGAAATGAGACTACCGGGATTTTAAAGATTGGATATCTTACAGCCAAACATCTATGACACTTTTTATCGTTTTTTCCATGTCAAAATAAACCTATTTAAAAAAGTAAAGAATTCGTCAATTTTTCGGGAAAACGGCCTATAAATTTTCCGGCTTATGATTTGGAAAAATTTCCTTCACGCCATTCGAAAGAGATAAAAATCTATAAGAAATGACATATTATATAAATTATTTACATAATTTTTTCATTAAAAGATATAAGGCCAAAAGTTTAAAGAAAAATTATGTTATGTAGGACGAAAGCCAATAAAATTAGATTTGTAACTTTATTGTTAATAATTTGTTGTTTTTTTGTTAACAAATCCTGAAGAGGTCAGCAAATCTGCTGACGAAACGTTGCTGAATATAATTAAAATTAAGTCCATCTCTCACTATTTCCCTTCTTTTCATTATTACAAATTTTATCATCTAACAATTTAATTATTTTATAACTTCTTTATTCTTTAGTTTTAAAGATTGCTACTTTGTACATAATAAATGCAGTGACTTGATTTATAGACTAATGCAATGATTAATATAAATTGTCTATGTTATTATATCTAATAGATAAGCACGCTATTATTATTTACATGCATTTGCAATTCATTGTACTAATACTCATTGTCTAATGTAATTTTATAAAATTAATATATTTAATAAAAATAAAAAAATTTGAAATCTAAAACATTTGATATATATATGTGTAGCCCTAATTAGGAGAAAATGCCTTAGCGTAAGACCACGAAGACGTCCCGCTGCCGTTGCGACGTACACCGAGGCATCTTCTTTTGATTAGGCCTACGCTTTCCGATATGTCGGGCCCTTGATTTTATGATTGATTTTGATAGCAAAAATCCTCATGGACACGCAGGAGCAAGAATATTTAAAAAATATATATATACTTTTTGAGATATTAGCAATTGTTTAAACAAAAAGTTAATAACTTTCGAAAAAATTTTTTTATTGTTTATTGTTGTAATTATTTCGAAATTTTAAGGCATTATAAGTATTTTGAAAAAAATCCGACTTCGATATCTTTATTAGTTTTTAAAATATAGCCGTTTGAAAATTTTTTATCATTTTTTTAATTGTTAATAACTTTTGGTGTAATTAATGTGTCGACGTCAAAATTTGGGAAAAATCTCACTTTCATGTGTACAACAATTGTGCCAAATTAGAAAAAAATCCGTAACCTAAGGGTTATAAATCAATCGAAATAGCCAAGAATAACCCATATATAAGATCATTATAAATGTTTAAAGAAATATCTTACAGCTATCTTTCGCCAACGTCTTAAAGGATGTCTTAGGTTATCTACAAAGACGTTAACAAGACGATTTCAAGGTGGACATTTAATGTCTCTAGACGTATAGAAATCACATCATTTTGAAATCTAGAAAGACGTCTAGAATCTTTAAAAAGTTATCTGAAATTCATCTTACAGACATCTTTTTGTTTACAGGGTTAACGATGGATATTCGATGTCTTGAAGACATCATAAACTAATGGTCAAAAATATTTTTCAAGATATCTCTTGACTATATAAAGATAACTAAGTAGACTTTCAGACATTTCATGTTAATTGCGGGTAGGCTTGGTCAAGTTTGGACTCGTGCGCCATTACAACCCAATTCAGTCTCTAATTAGAGAAAATCATCAGGCCATAATATATCGATCAGGCTGCCTGATAAACATTTCCTGTTTGCGCGAGATAAGAAGGGAAACCTCTATTGATTGTGATTGGTTAGTTGGAGATAGAAGTTATGATACGTGATTGGGTTGTTGATATGACGTAATGAAATAGCGCGAGAATTTGAAATTATTTATAAACCTTGTACGATTTGAAATTTTTCAGCACGCGCAATGATCATGGTAACTATTATAGTGTAATAAATAACAGAGCAACAACGAGCGACTTCATACCGGAGAAGTACTCGCTATGCTCGCTGCCTCGGCTTTTATACTATCCCGAGCTGAAAACATTTTCTTCTCCGGTGTAATGGCACTCGATACGCTGTTGATGTATAAATAACTATGAAAAAATCTTTGTAACCAATTGACAAAAATATTATATATCTCTGACATTGTAATTGTAATATTTCAAAAATTTAATTAAGAATGAAGAAACAAAATGTTATTTTATTGTAAAATTATAATACTCGAAAATGAAATTTTGTACTGAAAATAATTAAAGAATAAACAATTGAAAAATCCGTAAATAGTTTCGTCGTACGAGACCTATTTACCAATGGAGTGTCACCTGCACGCAAAATCCTTATACGTCATTTGTCAGAATTGAAAAATTTTTAATCGTCAACAGCGTAACAAACGTGTCAATAGTGTAAAATAAAGCGAAGCTCGCGCCTGCCTTGGCTCGTATATACTATCCCGCGCTACAAACATACTCCCCCAGCATAATCGTGTTGTTACGCTACTGACGCATAAATAACTATTATGTACCTCACGCGAATTGCGCTTAAAACTACTATTACAAAAAGAGAGTTCAGACTAGCGTATTCATTGTATCAGATATGGTGTATCAACCGACATGTAGCATGCTGAGGTAGAAAAGGAAATTAAGAGAGAGACAGAGATATAGACTGATAGGGATGGAGTGCAGTGTTTCATATATATATATATATATATATATATATATACACTTATACCTAATACTTTATACGGACTGGGTAAGATTAGCTGCGAAAATCTATGCACGTGTCTACACACGCAGCATATACACATATACACACGCACATAGAGAGTGTTAGACGGAGAGGTGGAGTGTGCGCAAAAAGACAAGAGTGGGAGCGAGGGGACATGCTAGTATAAAGTCAGCAGCAGGTCAGTGACGGCAGTCGGCAACGAACTCTACAACGAATTGGTGTACGGATGTGCCAAGTTGCCGCCTATTGCCGAATCGTGCCGAATGCCGAGCTTCGATTCAGTCGACCAGTAAAATATAAGCAGCATTATTCCGTTCAAGACTAATTCTTACAAATAGTTTAGTTAACCTAATGATAAAGTTGATTTCGCGGACTCATCCGTCAGCAGCAGCTTACTCCCCAACCATGCTTTGAGGTTATAAGAAAGACAGCTATATATCCAGTGTAGCAGCAGTTGCCAGTGCAGGCAGTGCGGAGTCAAGTAGGTATCGAAGAGGTGTAAGTGGCCGCGACTGTTCGCGGCTGTTGAAACCGTCATCAAAACTGCCAGCACGGCTCAGTTGATTTCTTTGGTGCACCGATGAACATGCTAACCGCGACCTCGAGTGCAACAGTGCGGGAGCGAGGTTCGGCCTCGCTGGCCGTTTGACGAACATTGAAGCGGCGCCGCGCGTTTGGGAATGGTCTGGTGCCACTACTTTTTGTACTGACACTATAACCCTCCTTCGAAAATGGTCAAGGAGAAGCCCAACTCCATTCGTATCTATGATTCCGAGGGTTACCGGCGCAGGGCAGCTTGCATTTGCGTTAAGAATGACCTCGAGGAAGAGGTAATTTACATTTGTTTTTCGTTTTTTTGCTTGTTTACTTTATAGTTAAGTGCTCCCTCTCTGCTTCCTCTTGTACCCTTCTGACCTGTTTTCTTCAAATTTGTCAGGTTCTGTTAGTAACATCTAGTCGAAGGCCGAACAGCTGGATTGTTCCTGGAGGAGGTGTTGAACCAGAAGAAGAGCCTGCAGTCACGGCTCTCCGAGAAGTAAGAGAAGAAGCTGGAGTTCTCGGACAGTTAGGCAGATGCCTTGGCATTTTTGAGGTATATTTTAGCAACTTCCTTCATAATATTTCTATTACTTTTTCATTAAGACATAGTTGATTAATCTAATCTTTGTCTCTTTTTTCGATACAACAGAATGATGAACATAAGCACAGAACCCAAGTCTGGGTCATGCGAGTTACAGAGGAATTACCTGAGTGGGAAGATTCGCGTTCCATTGGCCGTAAGCGCAAGTGGTTCTCAATACCAGAGGCTTTGCTCCAACTCGCACAACACAAACCTGTTCAACGCTCTTACATACACAGCCTACACAACACAAACCCTCGTCGCAATAGCTCCAGCATGCCTCTGGCGCAATATCCGCACAGTCCAATAGCACCTATCCAATTGGTCAACAATTCTGCAAACAACCCTCATTTTAACAAGCACAGTTAATGTTCCAAGTATCATTAATTTGTATGAGGCCAGCAAACATCTCCATCCAATCTCAAACACTTGTCCCAACTGTCCTTTGTGAGGATTATAATAATTATTACTGCTGTATTTTATACATATAACTATTAATTATGCTAATTATTAATATGAATTGCTAATAAATTGGTCCAGACAGGAACAATTAGATCAATTCTTTTCTTATAGTCTCTCTTATAAAAAATTCTAATTTAAACTGAATATTTTTAATGATTAGTTGTTGTATTGGTATAAATATTTTTGTGCTACATTTTTTTAACTAATAGCATAGAAGAAATGCTATAGTATGTCATAGGTTTAGGTCTGAGTGAATTTACATATGTTCACAGTCATATGACTGATGATAATAGATAGATCAAATACAACACTAACTATGTCTACATTTTTCATGTAATAAATAAAATTCTTTCATCAATTTTCTCTTGTTTACTCTTATTAGGTAATAGTAGATTTTATTATAATAAATGCTATTTGTAGGGAATTATATTTTTATTTCAGTTGACCACATAACATTTGCTATAATTTAATAAATAGTATAAATTATTGGTTAACGATTACCGGTACGTTTAGTTCTACAACACTACTTTATCAACCAGTCATATAGTCATGGGTTTATATATGGTGAAAATTGACAATATAATAAATTAGTAAAATATTGCTTATAACTTTTTAACAATAAATATAACAAAGGGAACAGATTTTTTATAAGTATCATTTTGGTATCAAATGTAATGCCACACTTAATTTTCCGTTATGTAATAAACTTTATTTAGTACCGAATAGCGCGTATAAATATAAATAGTAATACGAGATTATAGAGGGAGAGGAGATTTAACTCATTCAACGATTCTGATGCGCCGACCTGGTGATCAAGGAAAGAAGCTCAGACTTCAGATGAAGCCAAAAGCTTGAAAATCAATAACATAAGAACACAGTGCAAATTAATTAAATAAAATATTCCTGAGTTCCAAATGCGTTCAAATTACCTGTAATCAGAATTAACAAGTAGTTTTGATTTTTTACAATGAAAAATCATTAAAAATCTCTCTCGTTATTTTATATTTTAATTCATAATTTACGAATAATCTAAGTCAGGGTAGATTTAATTATTCATGCGGGCCTATAATAGTAGAGAATTGGTATTCAAGTGTTTTTTTTTTACCTATAAAGGAACTTTCTACATAAGAAAATATCGGACGTCGGACATCAGTCATCGGACGTTTATACTATGGTGAAAAAAGATGGGCAAATATAATATATTATTGTAATGTTAATGTAGTAGATTTATAATTTTCATCATTCTTCGCATTCTTCGCAATCATGGACATTAGATCTTAAGGGGTCCAGTTCGTGTTAAACTGTGAAAAAGTTTTCTGTACTTTGCTGTAAACAAATTCTATAAATAATGTAAAATTGTTTTACCCTTTAAGCAGCTTCGGAATTTCACCACAGCGTCTCCTATAATGTTATTACTGGCGCTGTTGTCAACTTTGCGATCGCCAATAGATAGACGCTATACTAACTGCTGAACCTCTGCTAAGAGTGCTGACGCTGAGTACCAGAGTGCTGCCTAGGCCTGGTACTGCTAGGAGTGCCAGTTGTGGATTTATCGTACAAGAGCAATTTATTTGAGTTATTGTGATTATATACAACAAAGAGAAAAAGTAACTTTTTTTAAATATAAATCGGTTATACGTAAGTACTTTAAAAAAACCTTATGTTAATTATCAGAATTACTATATTTGTATTGGATAATTCGTATTTCATCTGGTATTTACGAAAATATTTACCATGTGGATTAAGCATCATATTTTAAGGTTATGCATTGATTTATAAATTCATATTTTCTCAACAGTATTAATATATAATGTAGATTGCAAACAACACTGTTTAAAATACATTCATATAATTATTTTTTATATCTTCAAATCTTTTATTGTAGATGCATATTTGTAGAGTAATTTATCTGTCATTAAATTAAATTTCAATTTAGAAAATTGAACGTTACATGACTATTCAGTAAAAAAAATTATATTCTCACATAAACTAATTTTTAAAAATTTATCTAGTATGAAAAAAATAGAAGATAAACAGACTGAAGAAATGGAGTATGATGATACTACTAGTAGTAGTAGTAGTAGTAGTAGTAGTAGTAATGATGACAGTCAAGATGATAACGACATGAGTGAAGGAGAATATGAAGATGATGATATGAAAACAAAAAAAGTTTTTTTACCAGGAAATGAACTAGAAGAAGGAGAAGAACTTGTAGTGGATGAATCTGCATACCGCATTCTTCATCAAGCACAGACTGGTGCACCATGTCTAAGTTTTGATGTGATAAAAGATGACTTAGGAAATTTAAGAGAAACTTATCCTATGTCAATGTACTTAATAGCTGGTACTCAGGCTCCAAGAGCAAATGTCAATAATCTTCTTGTTATAAAAATGTCAAACTTACATGGAATTCATGCTAAAAATGAATCTGATGATGATTCGAGTGACTCTGAAGATGAGGATAATACAAAATCTCCAGTAATGAGTGTGGCATCAATCAGGCATCAAGGATGTGTAAATAGAGTACGGTAGGTGATAAACCTTTATTACAAATAATCATTAAATTCTTAGTAATACTATAAAACAAAGAAAGCAAACATTTTATGAATAATGATTTGAAACAGATGTACTCAAATTGGAAACACCACATTAGCAGCAAGTTGGAGTGAATTAGGACGTGTTAGCTTATGGAATTTGAATGAAGAACTGAGATCTGTAGATAGTCAAAGTTTATTATCAGCATATCAAAAGAAATATGAAAAAGCAGAAACTTCAGTTAAGCCAATTTTCACTTTCAAAGGACATCTAAGTGAAGGATATGGAATAGATTGGTGTCACACAGAGACTGGTACATTAGCTACTGGTGATTGCAAAGGAAATATTCATATTTGGCGATGCAGTGACAATGGAGGAACTCAGAGTTGGAATGTTGATCAAAGACCATATAGCTCTCATGTTCCTTTTAGTGTTGAGGATTTACAGTGGTCTCCAAATGAAAGACATGTATTAGCATCATGTTCTGTAGATAAAAGGTATTCAATCATCCTAAAAATTGTTTTATTGTCTAGAGTATTATGTAATTCATAAAAATATAACACTTTCAATTTTTTATACGAATTTCATTTTATTTTATTATTTACAATATTTAATACAATGTAGTAAATAGTCTTATAATTCATGGATTGAAAATGTTTTAGTATAAAAATATGGGATACTAGAGTTAATCCCCATAACGCCTGCATGCTAACAGCATTAGATGCTCACTCAGCTGATGTGAACGTTATATCTTGGAATAGGAAAGAAACAAAGTTTCTTGTTTCGGGTGGTGATGATGGAGCAATCAAAGTGTGGGACTTGCGACAATTTACTAATGATGGAGCATCTTCTCTTGCTACATTCAAACAGCACACAGCACCAGTAACAACTGTAGAATGGCATCCTGAAGAAGCAACAGTGTTTGCTTCTGGAGGAGCTGATAACCAAATTACACAATGGGATTTATCTGTAGAAGCTGATCAAACCGAAGAAAATAATGATGAAGATATTGCAAAATTACCACCTCAATTACTTTTCATTCATCAAGGACAAACTGATGTAAAAGAGTTACACTGGCATCCTCAGTGTCCAGGAACAATCATTTCTACTGCACTATCTGGTTTCAATATTTTCAGAACAATTAGCGTTTAATTTTTTTATACAAATCGAGAATTTAATTATTACTACAATAAATTAGTTTTAAGTAAATGTTATCGAACATTTTGTCATAAAAATTTTTAATTATAGTGATTTATGAATTGTAAATTGGAAGAATATTTATTTATTTAAAAATGTTAAGGATACTAGATGTCTAAGAGTTGGTCTTCCATGAGGACAGTTCCAAGGATTTTTCATTTGACCCATTTGCATTAATAATCTGTTCATGTCATTTAAATTTAAAGCTTTTCCTATCATAACTGCACCTCGACAAGCTCTCGATGCTAACATTTGTTGTACTCTACTAGGCCTAGGAATAATATTGCTACCGGTACCATCATTACCACCTTCTCTAATAAGGAAAATTAATTCTTCGATATCTTCTTGTCCAAACTGCCATCCAAAACTAACAGGCATTCCTGTAAGGCTTATCTTGTGACCAGGGTCACCTAGAATCAGAGTAATATATAAATTTAACATTTCGTGCTTTAGTTATTTACATTTTTACTTTAGTTTTTGTGAATCTTCAAAATATTAGTAGTATTCTGATGTACATAGTAATATAAATATTTATACTTTAAGCTTTTAAATACTATTGAAGATTCATTTTTCTAACTGTTTATCATAATTGTTTGATTTACCATTCTGATTTATGTTGAATGTAAAACCATTACTTTCAAATATATATTGATTTTCTATGAGAATTGATTCATTTAAAGTAGCAAAATTAAGTGGTTTTGGTATAATTAGTTTCTGGGTTTTCAATTTTGTTTCATTAGACAATTTTTCAAAACGGTATTTTTCGTCGCTTGCATGTTGATCAATAATGAATATATCGTTATCAAGTTTTGTCAAAATAAAACCTAAATTAAATTGGCCTATGATATGCATCTGGAAATAAGTTGGGAATTGATAAAATTATCTGTTCATGGCATGCAAAACAAATTCACCACAGAGGTAGAATGAACGAACCTTTTCAAATGATCCTGTTTTCAATTCATTTTCTAATTCTTTTTCAATATCGCATGTTTTAGAATTTAAATGTGATTTATATTTTACTCTATTTTCTAATATTTGCTTAGAATGTTGTATCTCTTTGGATTCTTTTAATTTTTTCTTTATAATTTCAAAATTAATAATCATTTCAACATCTGGTAATTTAGTTTTCAAAATTATTTTATTGTCAATGTGCTTATCATTTTGATTTTTAAAGATTTCTGTTTGTTCATTTTTAATATTCAATTCTTCTCTGTATTCTAAATCGTTATATATGTTCGTATCATTTTTTGCTTCATATTTTAGATCTCTACCATTTTCCTCTTGATGGCTATAATTTTGTTTGAATTGATAATTATTTATTTTGTCTTTTATTAAAACTACCTGTGCATTAGTCCCTTTAGTAACTGTACTTTTTTCATTATGGTTAAGATTTAGTTTCGTCTTTATGCTTTCTAATACTGAACATGAATCTTTATTTATATTAGGTTTATGTTTTAAATTTTCAATGTGTGGTTTTTTCATTGGAGGGTGATATTCTATAGAATCTGGAATACTTCTCTTATAACTTTGCAAATTCAACTGATCTAAAGTTTTAACAGTAAAAGTACCTTGAATATCATACCATGCTTTATCAAAACTAAACTTGATAGTTGCCAGAAGCAATTGCTCTTCAGTAAATAATATTGTTCGTTTATCTGGTGTAACATTAACATCTGCACAACTTTGATCAAGTTGAATATTTAAGAAGACAAATGGATATTGTTTGTTATTATATTTATGATATGTATGGTTAATCAATTTGTTGATTTTTGTGGGATCACAAGGTCTACCATTTACATAAAAAAACTGTCGATCTGGTGAAGATCGGCCAAGAGTATGATTGCTACTACTGACAAAACATGTCCATGTAAAATTTATTAATACATCCTTCGACAAATTATATTCTTCTAAAATTTCTTCATTAGGTAGTTGCATTGGTACTTCAATCAAATTTTTTCGTGCCTTTCTGCCAAATACTGATGTAATATTATCTAGTACATTATTTACTCCATTAGTAGCCACTACAACATTAGGTGATTTATTTCCCAAGCTGTTGGTACAAACAATTTTTATACCAGTTGAAACTAAACAGTAGCTATATAAAACTTGAATCATCTTAGCAAATTCTTTTTTTATGTTTCTTTCAAATTCATTTGCTCTTACAGGCAAATTTTTAAATATGTCTCTAACGTGTACTGTTGTGCCTTGCTGTCTTGCACATTCTTTCTTTTTTGTTAGAATGCCATTTTTATCAAAATACAAATCAAAAGCATATTGCGATGTAAAATGTCTTGTTACAATATTCAATTTGGATAGAGAGCAGAGTGAACTTAATGCTTCTCCACGGAATCCAAAGGTTTCTACTTCTAACAAGTCAGAAAATTCTCTTAATTTAGATGTATGATGTTTTAATCCTGGAATAATATTTGATAAAATATATTATTTCAAAAAAAATAATGTACTAAATCTGTTTCAAAAAGTATATTACCAAGTCCCTCAAAATCTGTTTCAAGAACACCACTACCATTATCAATCACTGTAATACAAGTTTTCCCATAATCTATTAATTTAATTTCTATAGATGTTGCACCACTATCTATACTGTTTTCAACAAGTTCTTTGACTGCTATAGCTAGGTCAAGTACTACCTGTAACAGAAAGAAGTTTTCAATTCATAATTCTGTACTTTGTATTTAGGCATTTTTTAAAAGTTTCTAGATCATAATATACCTGCCCAGAGCAAATGCGATGCACTGACTTTTTATCTATCGCTGAAATTCTAGTCTCTGTGCTCATAGTGCACTTTAATAAATATTTGGTAGTTTGACTGGAAAAAGAAATGAGCGTTACCAAATCCGTGAGAGTGAGAGGAAAAATGAAAAGCTTGGTAAAAATAATAGGCAGATAGAATAGAATGGTGATTTTATTGGCTTATATGAAATATACGTTGCGTTTCGTTTCGTTTCGTTTTAATGGCTGTGGTGGGTACCTGAGGACTCCGATGCGCCACAATTCAAAATAAAAAATATACATTGCCATGCTACATGAAGGTAAGCCTTAAAGAAGGCGCGAAGTTCAACTTATACTATATTGAACAAAGGATATATCTTAACTTATCTTATATTTTACATTTAATACTAACAATGAATTGCGCAATACATTGAATCAAATCAAGATTTTTTTCTGATAATAAAGATATTATGGAGAAGGGTCCGTATTTATGTATACGTCTAATCTCTTTAAGAAGAACAGTTCTTTGTTTATTATATAAGGCACATTCCCAAAAAATGTGTTCAATGGAATCATATCAGACTGACCACATTGACACAAGCTACTTAATAAATAAATAGATAAATAAATAAATACTTAATAAATAAATAGTTCTTTCTAAATAGACTCAAGTTTAGGGAGGTGTGGTTAGATCTAATCCTGCTAATGGAAACTATTGCTTTGCGTGGCAGACCTAGATCAAAGAATCAAGGTTTACTGTCAGCTGTATAAAAGTTTTCAAAGAAAAAAGAACATTTTGAGGAACTTAAGCTCATTGTTATATTTTCATTCTCTTCTTTGCATATATTTTTAGGAATGTTTAAAAAATCAGACATTGAAACCTATTCATTGCGATTAGGTGGCCATTTTTGGCTGCAGCTTTAGCTTTAAGATCAACAACTTCATTACCATGGATACCCACGTGAGCACTGAGCAGGAACCCATGCTAATTTTATTAGAATGTTTTTATCGCTCGCTTGTGCTAATTTACATCTAAGATTAATGATTAGTACTGAATCACATGAATACGACATTAAAGCTCTAAGAACACTTTCTGAGTCTGAAAAAATGATATAGTTGCCGGAGCCTTTATCAATAATTTTTTCTACAACCAATAAGAGAGATGTACATTCAGCTGTAAAAATTGATGCTGAATCCAAAATTCCATATTCAAAGCATAAATCTTGACATTTGCTCCAAGCAGCAAAGCCGACATATGTCTTACTGTTTTCTGTAATTTTGGATCCGTCAGTAAACACAAATGTACAATCAGAATTTTCAGGAAATAAAGTGTTAAACTGATCATTAGGAGATTTAGAGCTATTAATTTTCTTACCCTCATCTAACAGAATTGAAGGCGTGTACAGGAGATAGTTAAAATCTTTGAGATATTTGATATGCTTATTTGAACTGATCAAGGAATCTTTGAGGAACCAAACTTTTTCATAACATTCAGCCATAAGGGAGCTAGAAAAATTATTCGCAGAAATAAAATAATCATTAAACTGAATAATCTCCTCTAGATTATTTATAATTTGATACTGATTATAGGCCATACATTTAAGAATATATTTAAAACAGTTCAGCTTAAATCTGCATTGTAAATACGGAATTTTGGATTCAGCAACCAAAACATTGATTGGAGTACTGGTTCTGTAGCCCATCGTAATTCTTATGGCCGAATTCTGGATTTTTTGTAATCTTAAAATATATTTGTTATTGCATGGTGATATAATAAAACTTTCATATTCAATCTTAGATCTAATTAATGCTATGTACAACAACAACAAAGACCTCGGATCAGCGCCCCACCAGGTAGATCGTAAAAAGCTGAAAACTTTCAATTTGAATAAACAGCTATTAGCTAATTTCTTGGTGTGTGAATTCCAACTAAGGCGACGATCTAACGTTAATCCTAAGAACTTAACTTCTTCAGAGAGAGAGTAATTCTGTGATTATCTATAATGATAAAGGTAGACTTATCAATACGCTTCATTGAGTTGTCGAAAGTCATGAGCACGTATTTTTCCGGAGCAAATTCTAATCCTCTGGATTTTAGCAAAGTTGAAATTTTGTTATACCCAACTTCTAGTGTAGACAACTGCTCAATATGGCTAATTTTGTTATTATTATAAATGACTATATCGTCCGTAAATTCTAGAATAGACAAAATGTCGCATACAATTCGGTAAATCATTCTCGCATAAATCGCATACAGAAGTGGGCTTGCTTACTCCCTTGTGGAAGACCCTTATTGACAATTTTTTCAATAATTTTTGTGAATGTACAAAACGTGACTTTGCGTTCAAAAATAACATTTTTAATAAAGCTAATCATTTTTTTAGGTAACTTCAATTCAATAAGATCGTCAATCAAAATGTCAGGAATAACATCATTGTAATTTTGATATCTAAGAAAAGGGCAGAAACTGAATTTTTTGTGAAAAAATTCCTTTGAATATCGCTCGTTAGAATGCTTAAATTATCAATGCATGATTTGTTCTTCCTAAAACCAAATTGAGATGGGGACAAAATATCAAATTTTTCTGTCCATTGGAGTCTTTTTTTAACAAGTTTTTCCATAATTTTCAAAATATTCGAGGCCACCGATATGGGTCTAACTTTGCAAGAGTTTGCTTTAGGAATAAAAATAACTAAATAGTCACTCCAGTCTTGTGGAAAATTTTGACACTCATAAATATCATTATATATATCCAATAAGACTCTTTTATAAAATTATAGAAGATTAATAATGATCTCATAGCTAATTTTGTCTAAGCCTGGGGCAGATTTAGCCTTGACATTATTCAGAACACATTGTAGTTCATCAAATGAGAACGGGCTGTTTAAAAGGGCAAATTCCTCACATTTATTATCTGAATCATTAAGATTTTCTAGATTATTTAAAGCATTAGTACGAATTTTCTTTGGCGAACTTAATTCATCGATAGAACTACACATATTTTGTTCAGCTTTCGAGTTACCAGAAATATCACAAGGCTCTTTAAAACTATTATTATAAATTGTCGTTGTTCTCCAGAAGTCTTGGAATTTTGTTTTAGGATTAACACTTTCACAAAATGAAATGAATGATTTTTGCTTTTCATCTCTTAAAGTTTTAGTACTAAAAGCATCTAACCTTTTAACTTCAATGAACATTTACATAGTAAAACTACATTTGATAGATTTAAGAGCTGCTTTTCTACATCTGACTACCTTATTGCAAGAATCATTCCACCAAATATATTTGGATTTATTTTTACCATTGTTAACATTAAGAGACACTTTTGAATCGTTATGACGTTTCTGTTTTTGTGGAAGGGCATCAAGAATTGCCTCGTTCAAAAATTCAATAAAAACTTTGTATCTAGAGATTACGTCTTGGTTGTTAAATGCAATACTATTAAAATACGATTGATTATATGTGAGCTTATTTAAAAAGATGTCTCAGTTCAGTTTTTTCAAATTATATCTATAATTAACCCTGTGTATGTAAAGAGGTTTCATGTTAAATTCAATCGAAATTGGATAATGATCACTACTCCAACTATCATCAAGAACTTGCCAATTGCACTTAGCGAACAATTCTGGGGAGCAAAAAGTTAAATCAATACAAGACTCTGATTAGCCAGAATAATTCAAAGTGAAATGAGTGGGACTTTTGTCATTTAATATCATAACCTTATCAAAATCTAGATTATCAACAATAATATTTCCATTAGGACAATCAGTATTGCTGCCCCAAAGGGGATGATGAGCATTCAGATCTCCAGCAATTAGAAAATATTTTGCATCAAAGTTTAAGTTTGAATCCAAGAAGTCAATCCACTTATCTTGATTTAAATTATTATTAGAGTCGTTAACCCTTTGATGTCTATAGCAAGATGTAATTAGCAAGTTACCTGATTCTAGTTTGACAGTTACTGAGCCTGTCTTAAGAATATATCCTGAATAACCAACATTGCACACCTCAAAAATTAAGTTCTTTTTTAGGCAGATAGCTAGGCCACCACCTTCTCCTGATAATCTATCGAATCTTATCACGTTAAATCCTTTAAGATTAAAAGATTTTTTTTTATTCAGCCAAGTTTCGACCAAAATGATAATATCATATTTAAAAGCTACATTATGTAAACATAGCTTTTTAGTAACGCTACGGCAATTCCATTGTAAAATATTTAAATTTTGATGAAAATTATACATACTGAAAATTTAATAGAATTAAATCCAATTACTAAAAGCAATAAATACAATAAAATTTAAATAGGATCTATTTAATCTTAGCCTTATGCTTATTTGCAGTAGTGTTGCCTGAACCTTTAGTATTTATTCTAACTTTACCACTATTTTCATTCGCAAATCTCTCCAACAGTTTCTCTGTGACACTGACTCAACGGGATCCTGGCTTCCCAGTTGGTTGTGTAGACTGACAGGAGGCAGACTTATTTTCTTTCTTCTCATTTTCTTGATTGCTCTTTTCCATATTGGTCTTAGAATTTCTAGATATCCCCTGACTAGGCAAAGACTGATGGTTAATAATAGTAGGAAAAGTAGAATTGGTCTTCTGCGTATAAGACACGCCAGTTGTCTTATTTAACTTGGGTTGGAATAGTATTCGACGGTGCTTGACCTGAACCAAATACTAACTATTTTGCTTCAAAATATGATAAATTTTCGAATGCCATTTTTTCGTTAACTATAGTATTCATTTTGTAAATTCTACAACTTTTGTCAATGGATTTATGCGACTCTTTGCAATTACCGTATCTTGGAGTGAGGTCTATGCAGGGAGAACCAATGTTCTGAAATTCACCACACATAACATTTAGTTTTACTACGGCAGTTTTTAGCCATATGGCCAAACTTAAAACAATTTAGGCACTGTAGAGTTTTCCTAACATATGGAAATACTTTGGCAATTACATAAAATATCACTATTTCTTTGGGCAATACATTACTTTCAAAATCAATTAAAATAGACGTAGTATGAACCCACGTTGTATCGCTTTCTGGTGTTAACTTAATTCTTCTATTCAACCTTGTGATCTTACTGGTGATAACATCGCTTTGAATGCCCACTTTTAAGTCATCTAAATCAATATCTACAGGAATGCCTTTGATCACGCCTTTGCGCGTTTTCTTGAATTCTGGAATGAAGGTAGTTAGACCTTTATCTACAAAACATTTGTCAGATAGAGCACGATT